AGGTCTGTGTGTATAATATCCTGGGACAGTCAGTGCTCCCTGTATAGTGCTGCTCTCTGTATAATACAGGTCTGTGTGTATAATATCCTGAGACAGTCAGTGCTCCCTGTATAGTGCTGCTCTCTGTATAATACCCGCAGACTCCAGGAACTAGAAGAAGCAGAAGCAGTGGAGTGGTGACTGAAGCCTCAATCTGAGACATTCAACATGTTAATTGGTGGCATGAAAAGGGGCTAATGGAATATGTGCATATGTTTTTCCTTTTGCTCCCATTTGTCTATTTAATTCCATTCTGTAAATTCTCCTTCTATATCTTTCATTTCCTGTTTTCACCTTTTTCTTCTATATTCACTCCCTAATATGATTATTTTTGTGAACTAATGTAAGTTCTATGGTGTAGACACAACTCTCTGACTGAAGCACATCTGCTACAGTCTTTCTATATTTGTACTAACAGTGTCACCACTGACACCAACTCACCTAAAAGTGTTAATATGTACCTGCCTGATATAGATGCTGTGCTGCGAATGTATCTATCACATACCATGGATACATGGTACTGTTTGTGGGAACTTGGTGTTATAAAGGTCTACTCAATAAAGAGAGAATTATAGGGAATTGTGAAGGGAATGTCAAACTTTAGGTTGAAATATTTTAGCTGAATGGGAGCATTTTTCCAACTCGGCTACTTTAAGATGGCCTTAAGATTAAAATTACCATCTCAGTTCCCTGCAATTCTCTCTTTATTGAGTAGACCCTGTAAGCTGTACGATAAGTAGGCGGAGATTAATTATGTGGGTTTGACATAGTGGGCAGGGCTTTGCGGCAGTGGGTGTGGCAAATTCTCAAGGTAGTAATTGATAGCTGTGCTGCAAAGTGTCCCTGGAATTGTTTTCAAATGTTGGCAACTATGCAGTATCTATTTAACTCTATCCATATCTATCATTTATCATCTATCTATCTATCTAGATATGTAGAACATTATTCAATGTGTCTGTCGGTTGTAGTATGAACTGATGATGGAAATATCTATTTAATTCATGCTTTATTTAAATGCCAACAAAGAAGATCTTGAATTCCTGAGAGTTATGGTTAATTATTTATTTATTAAAATTATCTCACCAAACACGCTACATACTCCATTTCAAAACAATAATTACTCCCTTACAATCAGCATACAGTGTCCTAATATAAATATCGTGTCATGGTAATTACTTGCCTTTTGATACTGGCGGCTTTTTGTGTAACTTAATAAAAAACCCTCTTGTGCATATAGTACTGAGCAATGTTGCCTAATGATTAACTGATTCACATACACATGTTTTTATTGCAGTAATTATTCTTCCACAATATTTGTGGTGATTAATGTATGTTACATTTTGAGACAGTTCATGCTGCAGGATAATCTCCAATTGTCAATAGTTAGTTGGTGAAGGCCATTAAATGTATCTCTTCCGTTTCAAGAACACAAGCAATGACAATCATCTACGATATAACTCATCTATGATATAACATGGGGGGGTGTCTGCCCAAAGAACTATATGGTCAGCATGACATGAATGCATGTCAAGCTGTCTGCCAATCAGGCTGGCCAACTAATGGCATACAATGCAGACAGAACCCTGAGCTTGGCATAAATGCGTCTAATGATGCACTCGTTCCTGGTATATAATTTGAGACAGAGAAAAGGTAAATGCAGTGAGAGTAGAAGAAAGGGAACATGTCACAGTGTTAGAATCAAGTAACAAGAGTGTTTGCATATTGCGCAAAGTCGGCTTTACCTGAACTAATTTTATTGTCAGCCAGTCCACACAATTTTTATTCCGTTGCTTCCCTCTTAAGTCTCCATACTTAAACAAGAGCATGTGAAAAGTAGTTAAAAAAACAACAACTTTTTTTTAAATCAATGGGCCTATTCCGTGGGCATGGGCCTGGAGCTGTAAGCATGTAGTGTTGGCATTTGATGGCTGAAATGTATGCGCATATATACACATACACTGCCACATACATATTTACACAGATACACACACATTGATACACAAAGTTGCACACACTGACACATACATATCTACACAGATATGCATACACATTGACACACAGATGCATACACTGACACATTGACACACACACACTCCAATGCATACACACACTCAGACACATATTCAAACTTTGCGCCCAAACCAAGCAACAGCCAATCAGCTGAAAGGCGCGAAACCAATTTGTGCCAATCAGTGCTCAGGGAGGAGAGGAGTTTCGCAGCCCAATCAGGAGAGATGGCGCAAAAAACCATGTGCACCAATCGGCGCTCGGGGAGGAGAGAGGTTTCGCCACCCAATTAGGACAAAGAACGCAAAACCCTGTATGAATGAGCACTCCTTCTCTGATTGGTCGCCTGTGCTCTGCAGCAACCAAGCAGCGCTCACTCGTGCTGACCCATCAGCAGAATGGCGCGAAGCCAGTTTGAATGGGAGCTCCTTCTCCTATTGGTCGGCATGGATTTCCAGGGGGCCAGTGGGACCTCTGTGGCTGTGAAGTCAACTCAAAGCCCCAAGGATCCCGCTGGGGCTCGTGCCTCTCTCTGGCGGCTACCTCCACTTAGGCAGCCCCGGGGAGAGCACTCTCTGGGCAGCTATGAGCCTGGCCTCATAGCTCCCGGGTAGGGAGGACAGTGACTATAGCTCTGTTAGGAGCAGCTAGAGTGAGCCCCGACACTGGGACCTGAAACCATGCAGGCATGCCAGTTCGGTATACAAATGCTTCCCCTGGTTGGTGTTTGGCTATACAAACCGCTGGCCGCCCAGGGGAGCATTCGTTAATGATTTCCCTTATGGTTTCAGAACGTTCTAATGGGTGTTCTAAATGGTAAATCAGGGTGGTTCCCGTTCAGGAGACGAACGTGTTCCGTTCGTATGAGCTCTCCCAAACAGGGAACAGGCAAAACACATGAAAAACGTACAGATACAAAGGGAAAACACAGAATACAAATGTTAAACACAAGAATAAGTAGTGGGCATGGAACTTAGTGAAGGCAGTCCGCCACACACACACAGACAGATACCCACATACACACATTTAAACACTTAGGCACATAGATACACACATATAAACACACTGATACAAACATAGATATATACACACACACACTGACACATACATAGATATGCACCCTAATGCATTGACACACACACATACACACTGATGCATACACACACACTCAGACACACACATATATAGAGAGACTGGCATACACACACACAGATATACACATATAAACACACTGACACAAATACTCTCACACCCTGACAAATACATGCACAGATACGCACACGTCATAATTATTTTCATCCACCCTCCTGTTAACATAGCTTTTATATGCTTGAGGATGGCTGAGTAATGCTGCTGGCTAAGGCTGATGGTAGTGTGGTGCTGACTGGAGCAAGCTCTACCCTTGCTCTTCCCCACCTGTCATGCCTCCTCCTCTCTCCCACGCGGCACTCTGTATGGAGTTAGGAGGAAGTGACAGGTTTTTTGTTTGTATATTTTAACCATTTAAGTAGCAGGTTTTGACAGTGGGTGCCTCCTTTCAAGCAATCTTTATTAGACACAGTGTCATCTTAAATCTTATTATTTTAGACAAAAAGAAAATCTTATTATTTTAGACAAAAAGAAAATACCACTAACAGCAAAATGTGTAAGAGACAGGAACAAGCTACATGCAGAGTCCTTATTGTATTGAGTGATAGAACCAACCCTCTCCATTATCAGCTATTAGTAATACAATACAATGACATGCTTCCAAGCGGGAACATTAAGAGTTAATCGATAAAGTGGAATGATCTGCAGGATCTTTGGAGTAAAAGACATGTTTGTTCTGTTAGTGCTTGTTTGCTTAATTGATAATAATAACCTCGCTCACTGTAGTTCTCTCTGACGGGCTTTGTGTTCTAGTACTTGATTTCCATTAATACCGCTTTTTTTCTATTTAATAATTCATTTCCTCCCTGACCACTGCACTCTGATTATGTCAACATTTTATGAATGGTAGTTTGTAATCACAAAAACACCAACTCCACATAGGAAGGGCAGAAACACAGTAACACAACACACAATAGGGGAGATAAGCAGGGATGAAATTGTTATATATTGGAGCAGTCACTTTGACATATCTATATGGGTATGTGTGACTCCAACTAGAGAGAATCTGGTCTGTCTCTTTTTTTTCTCTCTGTCTCTCCTTTCCCTTTATTATGACTCTCTCTTCCCTCAGTCTGTCTTTCCATCCCCTCTTTTCTCCCCTCTCTGCCCCATCTCTCTCTCCAGCCTCTATAGACTTCTCCTCTTTTAAATGGCTCCTGTCTTTTCTCCTATCTCTCCTCCTTCTCTTTTTCTCTTTCCTTCTTATTCAGTTCTCCCCACTCTCATTCCATCTACATTTCCTTTATCTCTCCATACTCTCTTCTCTCTCTCTCTCTCTATCTTCTCTCCTGCTCTCATCCCTCCTCTCCCTTCTTCTCTCCATCTGTCTCTCTAACGTTAAACAGCTTCACTACTTTCTATCCACGCTGATCATTCATTTTACAAACCTCTATGACAATTTCATTCAACAATATGCACACAGCAATTCCAGTCCCTGGGAGAGAGTATGGCATTAAATACTTCAAATAAAGTCAGAGCTCAGAAAAAATAATAATAATAATTAAAAAAAAAAGATACATATTAATCTTAACCTTAAAGTACCAGTCTGAAACTTTACAGCTTTCGTTTTTTTATATATATTTTTTATTTGATATTATTTTATGTTATATTTTATTTATGTATTGAGATGTACACTGAGTCTGAACAGTAGTTACAGTGAATACTGGTCACATCTGTACTTTACAATAAATCAATCCAATACAGTGTTTATCCAATGGGAGATCGTCCTATACTCACACCCCCCTCCAGCAAACTATCTTTCTCACCTTCCACAGCCCGTGCATTCACATGGGATGAGATGACGTCTGAATGGGAGCAGTGCTGCCAATCAAGACACGCCTGCTCGTGCTGTTCCTTTAAGATGAGCTTGTGAGATGAGCTCTGGCACAGAGTGCCTAGCCCTGCTGGGAAGAAGGAGCTCTGAAAAATAGGAGATCGTCCTCACACTAGCACAACCCTGCATTTGTTTCTCCGGGCTCATCGGGGGGTCAGAAAGTGGCTGCTAAGATCTACACAGCTCCAACAAGTTCCAGACTCAACTAAGAACCTGAACATCCATCTGAGTAGAATTGGAACACTCTACATATTATTCTATAGAACAACTTGAACGTTCAACCTGAGAAGAAATAGAACATTCTATATATTATTCTATATAATAATCTGAACGTTCCATCTGAGAAAAAATAGAACATTCTATATATTATTCTATATAATAATCTGAACGTTCCATCTAAGAAGAAATAGAACATTCTATATATTATTCTATATAATAATCTGAACGTTCCATCTAAAAAGAAATAGAACATTCTATATAGTATTCTATATAATAATCTGAACGTTTCATCTGAGAAGTAATAGAAGACTCAGCCTGAATTTATTTGACCTACCAGCTGCCTTCTGCAATTATCTGGAGAGTTCTTAGGACTTGCATATCCTCTTCTTTGACCTGTCCTGTCCAGGCCACCTGATCTTTTTTTGGCTTTGAAGGTCCATATATATTGAGTTGACTAACTTGCTGTGTTAAGTAAACATGTATGTTCTTGTGCTGGGGATTGCGTGTCTGTGTGCCCTTGTCAATGGCAACACTGTAAAGAAGCAGGAGACCATTGGAGGGGAGCGCTTTGTGTGCACTGCCCTGCCACCGGATGCCAACCATGGCTGTCCCATGCCATCCTTCCCCGCTTCCCAAGAAGAGGAACTTCGCTCCACCATCCTCCACCTGAGAGAGACAATCTTACAGCAGAAAGATGCTATAGGGAACCAGAAGGAGACTATAAGGGAACTGACCTCCAAGCTGACCAGCTGTGAGAGCCTCTCTGAGGGCACAGGGCAGGAGGGCAAGCATGGCTCCTGGAGAAAGGGCTATGGCAAGGACACCATGGGGGACTTACCCAGGGATCCCACCCAGATCATCGACCAGCTCAGCCGCACCATGCAGTCCCTGAAGGACAGGCTGGAGAATCTGGAGGTAACTTAGAATGCTGGCTGTGATCTGAAAGTTTAGTGTCCCCTCCTCTCTATAGCTATGTAACATAGTCTCCTCTCTAAATACCCAGATCCTCAATGCTTTAAATTCACACCAAGCATGCTGGTCCATTCATATAATGTGAAGGGGAGACTGACTGGTCTTTCAGTAATAGCACTGTATTGATATTTCATGCTGTGAGTGTTTGTACAGCTGGATAATTTGATTGGAACACTGGGCAGGTCCACTGATTCTGTAAAGGTTTAATGGGGAGCTGTCCCAGGTGCTGAAATGCTATGCGATGGAAGGTAATAACTTATTAGCCTGCCTGTCACAGCTGACACCGGAGCCATTGGCTGTATCATCATAATGGGATTATTATTGTTTTATTATTTATATAGCGCCAGCAAATTCCGTAGCGCTGTACAATGGGGATTAGGAGTATAGAGAAACGAGTGGCTGTAATCATGATGCAGATAACATGCCTGCCCTGTGTGTTTTCTGATATGTGAATTCTGTTCAGTTAGAAAGTTCCATAGACTGGATAGATTGTATCATGACTGTACTCTCTTAACCATGTGATTGCCAGATATATGAACAGCACAGAGCAAAGCAATTTGAACTGCACAGAAAGGGTTACATTCTACTGTGTGAGGGGGTGGGGTGACATTCTATCCTATTGCATTGTAGCCTCCTCTTATACTGCTTCCTAACTCCTTATAATATACTGAACTTACTATACATATCTATCTATCTATCTATCTATCTATCTATCTATCTATCTATCTATCACAAGCCATACAAAGCAGATCTATTTAGTTTGTTTTGTATGGGATATCCATGATCCCTTATGTAGTTTGAATAGAATTTGGCAATTTCAGTAGCCCCACATTAACACAAATTTGATTTTATATGTGTTTCCCTCATTTTCTGTATACAGACTGAAACATCTAGTTTAAGCACCCTATCTGACACGTCCCTTATTAACAGTGCTCAAAGAAGACTACATTAGTGGAGTGTTTTAACATGCAGGTTATTCTCAATTAGAAATGTTGTATTGCATAGAGAGTTAACATTTTTACAACCTTAACGATCAGAGTAATTATATTAGGTTTTTAACTGTCCAACTGGGGTGCTTTGCTGCAATGGCAGGGCAAGCATTAGAAGACTAAGCGTTATCATTAGCTGAATTTATTCATCTGATAATGTTTATATGTTTTTATAATATGATTGACAAAATGGAATCTCTCTCCGTCTTTATTTCTGTTTGGAAATTAAATCCATTTTAATTACCTAAATCGTTATAACTATCTAACATTAATTATAAACATATAATTAGGAATATATATATTTTATAATATATATTTTAAATTAGGTCATGCATTTAATGTAAAATATAATATATATATTCAGGAAGTTAAATCTCTAAACAATTCTTAATTGTGCCACAAACAGTGTTCATGAATAATGATGCATTTTCTGAGCTTTGTAAATGGGGCTGCTCTGAATATAAAAAAAAAACCCCAAAAAATATTTTTTCCCTCATTATTTTAGTCAGGCTTGTTATGCTGTGTATTTATAGTGAGTTGCACATCCGTTTTTTCTTTTTTTATTTCCACACAAATCCTTTTAGCATAATATCATCTCAACTATAGTAGCACATGTAAAATGTGAGACAATTTGTATATTTCGAAGATTGAGCCCATTTATTTCTACAATCGCATGTCAATGTAAAATTATTAGAGCGTTCAAAACAAGAATAAAGTCAAAAACTGTAACTGCACCATTTATTGGAACCCGTCAAAGAGATTTGGCCAAATGTAGAATGAAAAATTGTAGCTATCGATTAATTCATTTGAGAGGTTAGTGGGTTACACTATTATCTAGATTCTAGAAACTATAATTTGGACATCATTTTTTTTCAATGTGAAGTGTTAACTTGCATTCTCTCTAGAGAGGCCAAGAACATCCAACACAAAGCATAAAATGGAGATCCTTCACCCTTTTACCAGAAGCCTAATTGGTGTGTCTTTTTGTTAAAGCATCAACTGAGATCCAACGTGTCATATTCGGCTTTGCCTACTGATCTTCGAGAGATGCTTCAGAGGAAGCTGGGAGATCTTGAACACCAGCTTTTAAACAAAGTAACTGAGCTCGAAGAGGAGAAGTCATTGCTTCATAACGAGAGCGCCACTCACAGGCACAAGACTGAGTCTACACTCACGGCCCTTTTGGAAAGAGTCAACGAACTCGAAAAAGGTAACTGTGACTATGTTTGAGATGGTTTCATTCATAAGAACCATGTGAATGCATTCATTGATGGATACAAAAGTTCACTGTGTGAAATAATATATTTTAGCTAAAAAAGAGGTGGTCACAAACAATACTACTCTAAATGGACCCGTAAACACAAGTGAGAAGTCTAGAATTCACATTTGATAGGATTTGCACTAAATATTTGAAATGGCCCGCAAATGGGTTTGTATTTCTCTTTAATAGTATTGTTATAAACACATTCCTTTCCAACACCATGTATATCAGGGCTTATTATCATTTTGCACTTCAACACAAAACTAAATTTTGCCAAAAAGCCATTTACCATCCCTGTTGCTCCAACACTGGTCTTCGTCCTGCAGAGAAATTATTTTTTCTCTCAATGCTCCATTCAGTTCAATCTCTGCAGAGTGATAGAAAATGGCCCTCCTCCCACACTAGAGAAATGGTTGAAGATCAAATTTCATGGATGCAATCTAACAGCCAGGGAGGATTGAGGAGTCAGTGCTATGTATACCCTGTGTTCTCTACAGGGATTCTTTGCAGGCTGCAATAACAGTTGCTTGGTATAGCTGTACCTATTGGATGTGCCCATTTTACCCATATACAGACATTGATTTTGCTTTCCAGGGAAATTTTTAGGAAGTTCTATTTTTTACAAATACACGGAAGCTAGGTATTTTTTTTAAAATATTTTTTACACTTTATTTTGCTCCTATGGTAACTTTTCCAGTCTGATTATCTGATTGCAAATAAGGTATAACATAAATTATTCTAAATTTCATCCATTCAATTTTCAAATAAAGGGAAATGTAAATTAATGTGTTTGAATGGATATAATTTTAATTTTATTGGTGATTCTGTACATTAACCTGCAGAATGATCCCAACAAAGCAACCAATTATGCATGTTTAGATGTATTTTTTTTTTCTTGTAGCTCATTGGCAACTGGGTCATATGCCAAGCCATTAGGCTCAAAGCACTTCTTCTAAAGATACAGATTGTGTTGGAAAAATGTTCTCCTTCACACCTCCTTCATTCCTATCTCTAAAGTATAGTAGTGAAAATCCTCTTTCTAAACCCTTTAGGGACCATACTTGTCTATCATTCTATCTTTAGTTTGTTTATGACCATCTTTGTAACAGATCCTATGATTGACAATACTGTATCTTGAGTGGTTTTGCTGTAGCTGTAGGCTTTTTTGCATTGATATCTGAAGTAGAAGGTTGTTCTGCTTTTCTGTCTTAAATTATTAACATCATCCAAACCCATAGGAAATATGCCATCCTGTAACCAGTACAGTCATACAAACAAATTTTTCCAATTCTACCAATATTGTAACATTTTAACGACAGCACCCATAACCTAGATGGCTTCACCCAATCATTCGTGGTATCTCAAGATACTTCATTCTTTATCAAGAGATGGCCATGCATCCAACATTGTTGTAAAGAATGTTGAGCTGGCATTGTATTCATTTTAGACTTGCAATATAAAAATGTATATCATGTGAGAATGTCGAACTATGACATAAAAACTTGGCATGTCCCATTATATTACATATAGTGTTTTCACATTGCCTCCGGCAAACTTGTATCTAGATCATTGACCCATGAACCTAGCACATAACTATAAAATTGTGTGTGTGTGTGTATATATATATATTACATGTGATATATGAAAAATGGTTCACATTTGCTGACAATAGCTAGGATGTGAATATTACTCAAAGCAATAATTTTTCCAAATTTTTTAATTTTAGATTTCAGTTCAACACAGTCTACTCATTAGTTTAGAATCCCCCTAAATATTGATTGTAAGTAATATAATTCCTAAAGGGTCTGCAGAGAAGGCAACCAATCTCAACACAAGGAGGATATAAAATAAGCAATAACAGGTGTCTCAATATTAAGTATAAACTCATCATTGTAACATATATAGTCGAAAATACTCTCTAGAAGGAAGTTGACTATGGGTATTGTTTAGAAAAATACATTGAAATCCAATATTTATTTTCTACAGAAGACATGACCAGGATTTTCACTCTTGTTTACTAAAATAAGTTAAATTTTTGAAAAATTCTGCATTCTTTCTAAGGATCTTCTTAACCCTCTCATGATTCATGATGCAAGTGTATTTGCTTAATCAACCTTTAATATATAGAAGTCACAAGTGATTCTACATATTTTAAACACCAAGAGTATTTGGAATTGAAAGGAAACAAATTAATAAAAAAAATGTGTCATATTGTAGACATCCCACATTGAAAGTATGATTAAACTTCTGTGATAAAGTCAGTAAGTGACCAGCTGTGTCAGGGGTGTGTCATTTGTCATTGTTATCTCTATACATTTATGCATATATATGGATGTAGCTAAATTGCTCTTTCTTTTCCAAATTTTGTTTTCCTTCCTTTATACATCTGGTGCCCAATTCTTTTCAAAATAAAAGCATCATAGGAAACATAGAATAATGTTACCCAAAATGGGTAATATTATTTAATCCTTTTGAGTGCTCTCACCATTCTTTCTGTTAACCAATCACTCTCACTTGTTTAGTGGTCATTGTGGCCCACTAAGGTGATTGTAGCACCAGCACTTTATTCTTAGGAATTTTTCACTTGTGTATTGTATTTTATCATAGGAAACATAGCCCTCAAAAATGTAAGGAAATGTTGTCACTAGTAATGCTGATTAACCATAACAATGCAGATGATGATGGAACAGACTTCAAATTCACAACATCTTATATCAGCTTAATGATGCATGTGCATAATGCATATAGGAAATGGTTGCTGAGTGGGTAGGTGAATTTAGCTAGATTGGTGAAAAAATATAGGTTGTTGGGTACAAAGAGCCAGGTGACTGTTTGGGTTGGTAGGTGACCTGGTGTGTAGGCGTATGTGAACAGGGTGGTGGATGATGGGTAAGATAGGGTAGGTATGTTTGGCTATAGTTAGGCATGTGACTGGATGAGTGACTTTAACTGAGTTGGTAAGTATATGTAATTCAGTGGGTGGGATCAATGTGAGTAAGTGGGCTATTTGTGAAATGTTTGGCTGGGTGAATATGACTGGGTGACTGTGTGTAGCATGTCATACGTATGTGACAGGATGCATGAGTGTAACTAAATGAGATCTGGTGAGTGGGACTGGTGACAGAGACTGGATGAGTCACGTTATAGCCATGGGCTCTGTTAGCAGACTATTATGGGTGGGTGATTGTAAAAAAAACACATGAGTGGCAGACAGAGTAAATTTGTTTTCAAAGATGTGGTACCTGGGAGTACTGTACCCTGGGCACCCGCATTAGATTACCCTTAAGATGTGCTCCTTCACATATTTCTCATAATCAGGACAGTATTCTCCACATTATTTTTCCAAAATATTGTATTATTTGTTATGGCAAAAAGGATCATTACAATTTTCTTCACATTATAAGGAATTATTCATTCTGGTTTATAAAATTAGTATTTTGTAACTCCACTAGGACCAAAGTATTAAGTCAAGTGGATCATGGATATTAGTACATTTTTAAAAAGTAATATAAAAAGCCTGTAGGGAGGCTTTGCTCAAGTAACATGATAGTTATATAATTAAGTTAGGTCCCAGCCTAGGTGCATACTATGAAACGTTTGGGGATCATATTTTGAAATATACATTTAAAGGCTGCACTTACCAAACAAAAACTCATTTTCTAAGCTGGCTATCAAGAGCTTTGCAAGTAATTTACTCTGAAAGAGTGGGATGGCTGGATGAAAATGTGTACGTTTGGGGTATTTAGATTAATGTTTTCCACCTTAGTTGTGATTTCTGTAGTTTAATCTCTTATTCTAGGTATGCTACCAAAAATATCAAAAACATAATAAAAATAGTGAATTTGATAGTCAAGTGGACTTATCTCTGATCTGTGGTACTTTGCAGCCTGGCAGCACTGTAATGTTAGGCTATGAACTCTTATTTGTAAGTGCTGATGGTCACATCAAGGAGGAAGATACATTCTTTGGCATAGTTGCCATCTTGGTTCCGGGGCTCTTCTGCATTTGCTGCATATATTTGCTTGTGCCTCAAGTATTACATATCTCCGAGTCCTTGACATCATTGGGCTGCTTTCTCATGCTTTTCCATGTGGTTTAAATTAAGTTCTAGTGTTTTTAGCACTGACTAATAGGCTGTAAATTTGCATATAGCTTCAGAGCTCTTGAAATGTGCATTTGCTTGAGTAGAGTGCTAGTTCCACGCCTTGTGTCTTTCTTATTTATCAGTATTAGCTCTATACAGTATTACAGTCCATAAAGGACATTTTGTAATAGGATCCTCTTAGTCTTGTGGTTCCCAACTCAGTCCACAAAGCACACCACATCAGTATCACCATTGGAATAGGGAAATGCCTAAATCCTGGATTGATGGTTGGGCAAAGGTCTATAACGTTGGGTAAATGTTGGACAAAGGTGTATTAAGGTAATGAGACAACTGGGAGAAGTTCTTTATCTATGCCACCCCTCAACCCCCAAATTATAATGACTTGCCTCTGACAAATTGCAGGCTTGCCTATGATTGCAGTTGGTGTGTGGATGCTAGATGGCAGGGATATGATGTTTCTTCATGTCCTCACCCACTTCACACAGAGCATTCTATTTCAGAAGTGCTTCACCAGATACTGAGAAGGCTGTGGAGACAGAAGACTGAGAACAGAGATTCATTACTAAACGTGATTCTGCAGAGCTAGCTCTAGAACCATCCTCTTGGTCGGAACCAGAGATAAAATAAATTAGTCATAGGGTGTTTGTGCGATATCTCTGATCTCCCCAGCTGTCCCTCTGCACCTGACAAGTGTTACTTATCACTCAAGAACTTAGGCAACTGCCTGATTGGCCTAACACTGGGGCTGCTCCCTTTCCCAACAGATTGGCACCCAGGGACAACTGCTTCCTCTGCCTCCATCTTGCTACACCGTGAGCCTGGGAGCCACTGTTTTAGAGAGCAGATGCTATGAAGGCATTCTTATTGGTTTGGATTTTGAAACCTAAAGTGGTTAATGCATATTAAGAAGAGTTGGAAAGATATCTACAATGAGGAATAGTAACTGTTTGACCAAATGTATATAATAATGATGTAACACTGACTTGTGGATGGCACACTACAGAAATAGTTTTTTTGTACATCACATTACATTACTATCGTGTCATTCTTTTTATATATGGGTGAGTCAAATGTCTTAAAATGCTAAAAAAAATATTAAAATACTACATGAGATTTGCTGGACTGTGCACAAATGGTCCAGAATATGTGCACTTTTCTACTTACCTATATGTAGCCAATTGAAATGCGAATGATAAAGTTTAGCCAAAAATAGTTGAAAAATTCTCCAACTCAGCTGTGATCATAACGTGGCTATCTTATACTAAATTTTGCCTTTTGGATTTCAATTCAGTACATTCTGGAGCTTGGCAATAATGATTTATCATTCTCTAGATCTGTTTGCGAATCATAGTGCCATTTTTTTAAATGAGTTAGCTACGGAAGCCACCATTAAAGGCTATGGCCATTTTTGTAGATCAAGCATTTGAAATGTTTTTTTTCTAACAGAATGGAATAATTTCTGATTCTGATCTAAACGGCCCAAATTCTAAAACAGAAACTAAAATAAAGATTTGCTATTGTCTAAGTCTGTTGTATACTCACAACAGTGTTTAGAACAGAAGTTCTTTTCTTTTTTTTTACCTTTTCTGACATAGATCCCAAATTATTTACCTAGCATTAGCTTTTTGAGCTATCCTTCAATTGTAAAATGAGCTAATTATCAGCTCCAAAGAGTGTAAGTGATTTTCCTTTTATTTATCTCACCAATTATTTGAAAATATTACACCATATTTTGTGTTTGTCCTCTCTCTTACATGTTGAATTTTCCTGATTGGATTTTGAGGATATTTTTAAGGCGCTGTTTCCATCTATACCTTTTCCACCTTTTAATTAACTGTCTCATAATTATAGATACCCCCAATGATGTAATGTTAGTGGCCCTTGAGAATACATGTCAGTTTTAGAGTGACATATGTGATCTCTTATGGAATATATGACACCTTTGTGTTCACAAAATCTCAGGAGGGACTAGGGTCAAAGGTAGCTGCTTGCTCATTATGAGTCAGCACTGTTTGTGTGCGTGCTTGAGAGTGTTTTTACTTTTGTGTGCTTGTGAAAAACACTGTGTTTGTGTATGTGTGCGTGTGCCCATGAAATTATGTGTGTGCTTGTGTGTGTACATGAAAGGAAGTGTATCATGTGTGTGCCTATTACATATGTTTGTGCTTCTGTGTGTGTGCATTCATGTGTGTGTGTGAAGGGAAACATTTTTCTTGCTGAAGTGTGACTCGGTGGTAGATTTGTGTGACTCAGTGGTATACTGGTGTGACTCAGTGGTATACTGGTGTGACTCAGTGGTACCAGCATAAATAAGGGTAATTTAGATTTTGTTCCTTTGAACTACAGTACATAACACAATACGAAATGGAGGTTGTTACAAGAATTTCTAGAACCACAAAATGGTGTTTAGCTTAGCTTACTGAGCTTCTACACTGACCGTTACTTCTTCAGTCTGCAAAGGCAAAAAGAGTGAAGTACATTTCTTAATTTAATCAAAAATATTGCATTGGCATACTACATTGTAGTATTTTTTAAAATGCATTGCTATCAGTTTCTCTCCCAAGGAGAATAGCAGGACACTAAAATATAATGGAATATAACATTTTCTCAGAACTCTGCTTGTCAGTCTATAATGTTCATTAGCACACAAGGAATACTGTAAGCACTATAACCATTTCATCTCATTGAAATGGATATAATGTCTGGAGTCCCCTGGAAGTGTCCCTCCATTCCTTGTTATACCAATTTAAAGCAGTTTAACACTAGGTGAGGGTCCCTGGCCAACCACAGCCCCGCCCCCACTGGACGTCTGGCTAAGGCAGACATTACACACTTCCTTCTTGCTATACCAATTCATACCAGCAATGGGAACTGACAGGTTGAATTAGGTGGTTGACACTCTCAGTCAATCACAGCCATCCACTGCTGCTCAGGCTAATGCTCCTTATTATCCCAAGCAGCACAGAGAGGATTGGCTGCTGGGGACACTTATTTAGCATTAAAACATAAAAAAAGAGTTTAACACTGGATGGAAGGACAGTGCCACGGGACTTCAGATACTATAACCACTTCACTGAGATGAAGCAGTTATGGAGCCTGTAGTGTCTCTTTAAGGAAGATATCCTACATCGGCAATGGTTATATAATAGTTTTCAATTTTATTTGGCTTTTACCTAATATTTTTAAATCTCATTAAGGGAATCTGATTCCAACAACAGTGTTCTTCCAATTTCCATATGTGCTCAGCTGCTATAAATATAATCTTGTTTGAAAACGTGAAGGGAATTATTCACTAAACTGATTTATAATCAGTTAATGAGTGACTTGCAAAATATTTAGGAAATGCATGAATTGTCTTATTTACTAAATACTACAATTCAGTCCAAAATATGTGATTAATATTGATCTAAATCTTGCAAACTGGTTGTCAATTCATGTCAAGCTCACAATTTAGTGAATGCCCCCATGTTATTTTTCTCAGTTGATCCAGTTTTTGTTGATATAGATTAAGTTGATAAACTAAGAAACATAACATTTACTGCTTTTAATTGATTAATAATATTAATTTTTAGCTCATTGAGGTAAGATAAATACATAATATTTTGTGGTTTTTCCCCATATTGTTCCTCTAGGTAGCAGCGCTTTTAAAGCACCAGATGAATTTAAGGTGTCCCTCCCTCTACGTACCAACTACCTGTATGGTCGGATCAGGAAGAGTCTGCCTGAGCTCTATGCATTTACTATCTGCATGTGGCTGAAGTCCAGCGCCTCACCTGGAATTGGGACACCTTTCTCTTACGCTGTATCGGGTCAAGCCAATGAGATTGTGCTGATTGAATGGGGGAATCATCCAATTGAACTGCTAATAAATGATAAGGTATGAGCTATCTACTGTTAAATAAATACTATATACCATTGTAAAGAGAGATGTTAACTTGCGGGATGTTACCTTGGTTTATTTTGTTTGTTTTTAACTCTACTTTAGTTGCTGAGTCCTGCTATGTCAAAATTTTCAACACAATCAAGTTTGCCATTAAAGGGACACTCCACTGCCCAAAAATAAATACATCACTATTTAGTAGATATACCCTGAATTGAAACATAAGTGTATTTAATTATGCATTTTATCATTGGGGATATATCTAACAGCTGGCAAAAGCTACAGATCTCTTGTCTGCAGCCTTTGTAGGCTCTACCCTTCTAACCCCGCCCACGCTTTCTGCTGCTGTCCAATCAGTCTTTCCAATGCAGCTCAATGAGAAGTCTTTGTAAGGCAACTGATCTAGGCAATTGCTGCCTCTTGAGTTTAGCTTCACATAGATAACCAAATCAGGAAGTACCTATCATATTCTTCACTAGAATTTACTAGTTAGTGAATAAACTATTTTGTTGTCTTGTGCTTTAGATTATAATTATAATTTATTGTACAACACAAAATATTTATTTGCACTAGATTATCAACTGTATGGCAGTTGGTACACCTAATGTTTACTCAGGATGACATTATGGGTAGCGTGTTGGATTTTTATATCCTGGCACTATTGTATATGGTAGATTTATTTTTTATTTTTTTATTCTTTATTTTGGATGTGCAAGTTATTACAAACAAATGCCCAGTGCCACAACTACTGCTGCACGCAATTCAGGTATTGACAGATTATAACATTTGTTTGTCATGTGTAACATTTGCAAAGGTTTTAAAAAAAAAATAAAATGCAATAAAAGAGAAGATTTTAGATTCATAAGGCATGACTTTGAGCAAGAAACATGTAACTTAAAGAATCACGGTGAAACATGCTATAAATATAAAAGAGAAAGAAAGATAGAAAGCCTTCTCAATCTCCTTCGTAGCTTCCATCTCGGCACCGGATCAGGATTGCTCCTCTGGACAGGCTGCAAACGGTTAGGACAGCATGCTTGTGGTGTCTGGCTTGGCTTATTGTAGTCCAAAATGTTGCCCAAAGGTGATCTACGGCCTGTGAGAGTCTTGTAGCAGAGAATATCCGCCTTTCGCGGGCTGAGGAAGGCTCAAGTCTCTGAGCACTGTCCATCTTGGATGTTAGACCTCAGGTTGTCAGCTTCTCTGGAGCCGAGTAACACCTTGCAGAGCACTGTGTTGTTTACCAGTGGGGAACAGGATATCCCTCACCGGTCCAGAGGGGGGGGGAACAGGGCACAGAAAAAGTTCAAGCTGGAGGATAGGCCGCCTCCCCCCTCCCAACTGCTCCTGCAGGCCACTGAGGCAGTCAACCTGTGTACCAGAACACTACGTGCATCAAGAAATATATCAATCGATCGGCAATGTGTTCCCCAAAGAATAAATTTGGGTTTTAAGGTGTGGATTTCTCATGGTGCCAGTTAAAAATCGGCAAAATAAGGTTGTCTCTGGGGAGCACCAGTTATGTGCATGTGCCCCAGTCAGCAGCTTGGCCCCTGCCCCCTATGTCAGTGTATTTTAAAGGACCACTATAGTGCCAGGAAGGGGTTAAAATCTTACCTTTCTCCAGCGCCGGGAGGGGAGCTTTCCTCCTCCTCTCCTCCTTCCTAGCGACGTCATCGGCTGAATGCGCATGCGTGGCAGGAGTAAATTTCCTATGGACGCTGGCGTCTTCTCCCTGTGATTTTCACAGTGAGAAGCACGCAAGCGCCTCTAGCGGCTGTCAGTGTAAACATAGCAGTTTCTCCGAAACTGCTATGTTTATAAAAAAAGGGTTAACCCTAGCTGGACTAGGCACCCTGACCACTTCATTAAGCTGAAGTGGTCTGGGTGCCTATAGTGGTCCTTTAAGGCTGAAAATTGGTAGTAATGTAAAAATGTTGCATTATTAAGAATTGTGGGACTAAGTATCAACTAAAAGCTTACACTGGAAGTACATTTTTTTTTTTTAAGGATTTTCTAAATTACTGCTGCATATCTGTTCAGAGGTCAACTGTGTTTTATTGCCCTTGTATGTACATAGTACAATTACAATAAAGTTTAATCTGAATCTGAATTTGAAAAATATTTTTTTTTGTTTAGTTTACATCATGCTATATTTTTTTTAATCATCTTTAATCGTCTGTTGTACACAGGCCCGGACTGGCCATCGGGCACACCGGGCAAATGCCCGGTGGGCCGCGGTGGCCATGGGCCGAGGCCGGCAGGGGAGGTTACAAGATCTCCCCTGCCGGTCTATGCAGGGCCGGCACTCTCCTAGCGCCGGCCCCGCTGTTTGCCATGGAGGGCCGGTGGGGAGATCAAGGATCTCCCTGACCGGCCCACATGCGGCCGCCGGCGGGGAGGGAGACAGCCAGCTAGCCAGGCTGGAGAGAGGACCCGGCGGAGCTCTAACTTGCAACTCCGCCGGGTTCCTCTCGCGAGATCCGGCGCGTTGCCATGGCAACGACCGGATCTCGCGAGAGTGAACTCTAACCTCACAGGCTAGAGTTCACTCACCCACGAGGACCACCAGGGAACACTGCCTCCCCGCCTCCCAGTCCCAGCGTGCCGGTCCCCCCCCCTCCCAGGCTAAAGGTAAGAAGGGAGGGGGGGAAATAATGACTTATTTTTATTTTTATTTTATTTACCCCCCCCTACACACACACACAATAACATTTATACAGCACTCTCACACCCATCACACACAGCACTCTCTCACACATCACACACAGCACTCTCTCACACAGCACTCTCACACAGCACTCTCACACACAGCACTCTCACCCATCACACACAGCACTCACACACATTACACACAGCACTCTCACACACAGCACTCTCACCCATCACACACAGCACTCTCACACACATTACACACAGCACTCTCTCACACAGCACTCTCACCCATCACACACAGCACTCTCACACACATTACACACAGCACTATCACACACAGCACTCTCACACACATTACACACAGCACTCTCTCACACAGCACTCTCACACCCATCACACACAGCACTCTCTCACACAGCACTCTCACACCCATCACACACAGCACTCTCTCTCACACCCATCACACACAGCACCTCACACCAGCGCACTCTCACAGAGCACTCTCACACACAGCACTTTCACACACACACAGCACTCTCTCACAGCACTCTCTCACAGCACTCTCACAGAGCACTCTCTCACACCCATCTCACACACCCATCTCACACAGCACTCTCACACCCATCACTCACACACGGCACTCTCACACACATCACACACACCGCACCCCTCACACACACACACCGCACCCTCACACACACACATACTGCACCCCTCACATACACACAGAACCCCCCCACCACACACATACACAATACTTCCAAATATATATATATATATACACACACACACACACACACACACTACACTCTTAAAGGACCACTCTAGCCACCCAGACCACTTCAGCTTAATGAAGTGGTCTTGGTGCCAGGTCCTTCTAGGGTTAACCACAGAGAAACTGCTATGTTTATCAATGGGTTAAGCCTTCCCCCAAAGCCTCTAGCAGCTGTCTCATTGACAGCCGCTAGAGGCGCTTGCGTGCTTTTCACTGTGAAAATCACAGTGAGAGCACGCAAGCGTCCATAGGAAAGCATTATAAATGCTTTCCTATGCGACCGGCTGAATGCGCGCGCAGCTCTTGCCGCGCGTGCGCATTCAGCCAGACGGGGCGGATCGGAGGAGGAGAGCTCCCCGCCCGGCGCTGGAAAAAGGTAAGTTTTAACCCCTTTCCAGAGCCGGGCGGGAGGGGGTCCCTGAGCCACATATGCATCACATTACACCACAAACACAACACAACTAAAACCGACCTTATTACACAATACCACACCACGACCAGCTCACTCTACACACACGCAATACCACAAGCAGGCTCCAAACACATGCACAATACTCTTTCCTGGCCTTTTGTCTCCTGGTATCCATTTATAGAGACACCAGAGACAAGTTGCAAGGAAACACAGTGCAAGCATGTTATTAAATTTGCTTGCACTGTGCAGAACAAATACAGGACTTTTTTCTCATGCTAGAGCTCTTCAGCAGAGCTCTGCGCATGGTCTGCCCTGGAAGAGCATTGAACCAACATGCTCACTTTGAGAGGAGGCGTGTTTGTCATTGGTGATGACAAAACACACCTCCTCTGCCCCGCCCCCTTTTTAGTGGGCCGCTGTGTTAAAAAAATGCCCGGGCCGAATTTTTCTCCCAGTCCGGACCTGGTTGTACATGACCCTAATTGTTTTTACTGTACAATAAATTATTCATCACTAGAAAGAGGCTCCCGGATGCGGATTATTGGTATCTATAAAACATTGTTTAATATAAGTCTTAACTTCTCAATTTCCTAATACATGAAAACTCAAAGGCTTATTCACTAAACTTTGAAATAAGAGGGCATGAAAATAGGATGTGCTAAAAGATTGGGAGATTTTTTTTTATTTTATTTTTTTATCAAATCAGCTGCCTTAGTATGAATTTTGCATTTTGATTTTCCGTTCATTGCAGTTCACTAACTAGTGGAAAAAATGCAATTATTTTTTCAATGTGGCACTTAGCGTGCTGGGACCTCACATTAAGAAGAGTGCTGAAGGTTGATTTTCTTCTCATTGAGAAGGATGCACTGCTCAAATATATAAATGTACCGAACAAGATAGTAGAATTCACTGGTGCATCCATGTGCATAGTAAGAATAATTAACTGTACACTGTGGTTACAACATTGTGTTTCTCCACTAGCTAATAGACCTGTAAGGAGATATTCCCATGATGCATTCTAATACTGTTGCTAGGAGACCTGCTGTACCATTCGGTTAGTTGGAATGTTCACAGCTTGTTAGAAATACATAAAGGTTTTACAATCTGCTACAAATTCATGTATTTTCATCCTTCCCAGCATTTCCACTCAGTGTATTAGAAAGCTACAGTTCAATAAGAGCCCGTGTTATGATTTAGTAAAGGAATTAGAAAATACAGTCGCTAGTTGAGCCAGAAAATATCATCAACATTAGAACAAAACAACAGGTGGTCAGTTGAGTTTTTCCATTTATATCACCCAATTAACGTGCTACGCAAACAATAGATCCCAGACCTCTTGGGGAAAAACACAATTTCTGGTGGTCCAGTGGGAGTTGTCTCTTCCTTTACTTCCTTCCTTTGATCTATTTTAGCAGTAACTATGAGTGGGATATTGTAATGCCTGACATTCGTTCGGTTTCTACGGCCAAGGATTAGTGGAATAAAAAATTGAGAGATTTTTTACGTCAATGCCCCATTCTCACTATTCCATTTTAATAAAACCACCAAGTAAAGAAACCCATGTTCTCCTTGGCTCATGTGACATCTACACCTACTATTAATGTGTCATAAAACAGAATGCTATATGACAAGTGATCTATTTAATACAAATATTAACTAAAAGCAATATGTAAATCTTCATAGACCTGTTATAGGTAAAACATAATATTTTATTAATTTGTCATATTAATGCTGGGTTTTAATTCATTGTTTGAATGCAGGTAGCCCAACTCCCATTTTCTATTGGGGATGGTAAATGGCATCACCTCTGTATCACCTGGACAACCAGAGATGGATTGTGGGAAGCTTTCCTGGATGGGGAGAAGCTTGGTTCGGGGGAAAACCTTGCTCCTTGGCACCCAATTAAACCAGGTGGAATTCTCATTCTTGGTCAAGAGCAGGTGAGTGAGCAGTGCCATTGTTTCTTATACAAGATGTGTATTGTGGAAACATTCTAAAGCACAAGTCTTATTTATAGATGACTTCCCGTTCTTTCTCTAAAATCTCTCTCGAGATCAATGTCCTTTTCCACATTCTAAATAAATTTATCAATCTAAATCATGATTTAAAAGACTCATATCCAATATCTATTTTGGTTTGCATGTTAAATTAATAATTTCCATAATTTGAAAAAAAATGGAAGTATACAGTTTTACCCAAGATGCATTTCATTTTCAAATGGTTTCCAGTCCCAGCATTACTGACCTTATGAAAACACAGGCAGTACTGAAAATAGCTAGGGTGTATTATTTATGGCCTGTACTTCTGACAAAAAATAGAAATGAGAGAGGAATATTAACAGTTGGGTTTTAATGTTATTAATGTAATTCCTAGTAAATAAAAAAAATAATATATCTCACCCTACATAGCTGCCTATCTCTCTTCTACTTTTTAACCCCATTACGCTCTATCATTGACGGCTAATATTGTTGTGTTTCTTCCCCAGATCTCGCTCCCTACGTCCCCAACACAATCTCTCCTTTATAGTCCGGTATATCTTCCTATCCTTTGAAGGTCTATAGCTCCCCTCACTTTCTCAAACTCATTTTGTTCTGTAGGTTTCATCATTCACAGACTTAATCACAAGGAGACTCTCGCCACACGCCTGTCATACACTAATTTTTTACTTTATTCATGTTCTGGTCTGCCACATTAGTTTTATAATGCATTTCCTGGCACATTAGTTACTAATACAATTGGGGTTATTTACTAAAATGAGAATTGTAAACATTTCAGTTCAGCTACTTTGGCATTAAATTTGAAATTCACTTTGAATTCAATTTTATTTCCTAAAATTTTCACTTCAGGAAATAACCCAGAGTGAAAAGTTTAAAACCTATGATGTCATTACTTCACTATATTAGTTGAAACCACAACAGATTGTTACGGTTCAAGGAAAAGAGATTTTTTGCTGCAGGGCCACCAACCTCTAGTCCCCTCAAACTACACACCAAAGATTGCTATTCACACCTTGCACATAAAAGAGCCAAAATATATGGAAGCCAGCGTATTATTAACCCTTAATAGGGAACATATGGGGTGGGCGGCTGCACTGTAAGATGGCTGGTAAGAAAAAAATCAAAGAAAAAAGTTTCTTGCATAGTATCCCACTATCACTCCAATGGCGATTTAAGGTTAAGCTCAGCCATATTATATTGCTGCTACACATACCATGCTTTATTAAGTAAAAATAAAGAGAAAGTTACCTGCACTCTGGCCCAAATCCCTATGAACATTTAAACAAAAAAGGATTTGGCGTAGTGCGCGAGTAACTTTTTTATTTTTTAATTGTATGTATTGGCGCTGATATTTACTATAGTCATTGTTGCTCCCCAGGAGTAGTGGGAGATTCAGTGCAGGACTTAATTTTGTATGTTATGATTAAATCTACCTCATTTGAGGTCTAGAGGAAAATCAAGTTAGTTGCCAAATATAAACAAATTTTGGTAATAGCTAAGCCACTGACATTCAATGCTAACTTTTTTCCACCTACTTGCTGTTTGTAATGTATTGTATTTATGGTTTTCTCTAAAAGGACACAGTTGGAGGAAGATTTGATGCAACTCAAGCTTTCGTTGGAGAATTGAGCCAGTTTAACATTTGGGACCGGGTCCTTAAATCAGATGACATCGGAAATATTGCAAACTGTTCCATGAACATGCCTGGAAATATCATACCTTGGGTTGAAAACAATGTTGAGGTTTTCGGAGGGGCAACTAAATTGCCTCTGGAACAATGTGAAGACCGTCTGTTAAATTTATAGCTATAATATGAAGCCCCTTTGTGCCCAGTTTTATTGAGACAATCTCTGACGAGGTTATTTATTGTAAATTGCACTTATTTATTTAAATACGATTTTGTAAAACCATTGATTGACAGGTCAAGAAGAATTAATGACAAAGACACAAACCCATATATTCAAGGTCTGGCTAGCAACTTTTTGAGACTATATATTCACTTACTTTAGGACAGTAAGGAATCTAGATTAACTTTCTTATAGTTTTTTTCAGAATGAATCAAATAATTAAATTATTACAATTGACTTAATATAATTTCCAATTATAACTAGCCTGCCATTATTTTTTGTATATAGCATTGTTTCTACCCTCTTAGAAATGGTCTTAATCGACTTAACATGGACCTGTCACCTTCACCATTGTACTAAATAATGGCCAGAAATCTAACTATTCGATTTATTCAAGCATTCTTCAAAACTGCATAGATTGTATTCTGTGTTAGAGTATCAGATAAAATCATCATGAATGGGAATGGGAGGGTATTTTTACAAAAAACAAAAAAATAAAAAAATCTAATCAAGCGATATTGAGCAAACTTTTTGAACAAATTACTTTTTTATGACAGGATATGACGGCTTAGTGCAACTATTTTCTTCCCTTTTCATGAACTCCTGTTGAGGGCCTACTTAAAAATAAATAATAACCACAAAATAGATTTATAAAGTTTTTCACTAAGTCAATCATTGTGAAGAAGTGACAAGAGGAATGCAAATGTTATGCAAAAAGATCAGTAAAAAAAAAATTGCTTTTTATCTAAATTTGAAATTCCTTTGCCACAATAATTTCTGGTGCATTTTAGGTCTTTCCACTCGGTGGCTGAAAAAGTGCAAACATTATAATATTTTTCCTTTTGCATGGAATATTTATCCTGTCTCTAACCATGAATGATTCAATATTTTAACAAATTAACTTGACAGATGTATGAGTTATAAGTTTATTCACAAAAGTGTAAACTGTCAGACATTCTGATTTAGTTTTTTTTTTCAGATTTATGGCCTCAAATTTGAAATTTACTTTCCAATGAATCACACTCTACTGAATAAACTTGTCTTCTGTGCAATCTTGTAGACCTCAATTTAATTTGTTTGAATCGGTATTTCAAATGATCACAGTCTGTTAGAAAAAAAGCTTTTTAAAATTATTTACTAGAAAAGTCACTTATATTTTAATGGTGACTTCTTTGGATAAATAATATGAACAAATTGTGACTATTTCATAAATGATGATCCAAATTAATTAAATCGAGGCCAACATTTTTTATGTAAGTAACAAGTCACATTTGCTGAATAAAAGTATAAATGTAAACTCTATAAATATATCTTTACCAAGTTGGGTGGAGATTTATATTAATGTCCATTTCAGTACTTTTGTGTGTATTTTCTGACAACATTAGTGTTTATTATACAATATGAATGAATTATATTTGCACATACAATTAATATTTCTTCTAAGTAAATGTATTGCTCATCCGACCAAAAAAAAAGCTTTAAATTAATCTCTTTTTAATGCACTTGGCCATTTTAACAACAAGGTAAATAATTATAAAATGGAAAATATATTCTCAAAGGTACATTAACGTTTAAAACAATTATTTTACATAAATATTTCATTTTATTATTTCAAACGTTTGGTGTATTGTATTGTGGACTCATTAAAATATTATTTTGACAGCAGAATTTTGCATCACAAGCTCTGCAAATTAAATCTTTCATTAAATGCAAATAATATGCACAATATTTTAATTTGGATTTAATACCAAACCTACAATTAGCAGTTACAGAAGGATTGAGGCTGATTTTTTTTACATCTGTTTACAGTCTGCATAATTGCAAAATATATTTATTTATCTCTTGGAAATTATGCAGTTCAAATACCCAGATCTATATATATATATATATTTATATATGTGTAGCATATTAAAAAGATACAAAAAGAACACTGTGCAGATTTTGGTAAATTTTTGGCACATCAAAAGGCTTTTATACAATGCTTTGCATTATAATCCAAAAGATTATTATTAGAATAAAAGTCAATGCTGCATCAAAACAGAAGAGGATCACACTCAGACAGGTCCACTTTACATGCCAATGAGAAAGTTGAGGGGCTTATTCTAAAAAAAATAAATAAAAAAATTGTAGAAAAAAAACCAAACTGAAATATTTAGGCTGAAGTAGCTGATTTAGATACATTCTCAACTCAGGTATAGTCACAATTTAGCTATTTTAGCCTAAATCTTCCAATTTGATTTTCGGATTTTCAGTTCAATAAATTGAATTTTGGATTATGTAATTTCACTGCAAGCATGCCTACTATATGTGTATATTTAAAGGGCAGCAATGCTTCATCACGGGTCTTTGAATTTTCATAAATTATCCAATAGTACCACTTATAGGTAACCTGCCATTGAAGAAGAATGTAGCTTTATAAAGTGAATTCATTAAAAATAATCTATACTTTGTGCATACAAATTGCCATCACTTGTAGAGGTTGAGATAAAAACGGGCATCAAGATTTCTAATGCTTTGAGCCCCTTATAGCATACAGTATCCTATACTGTAGAACCAATGATTCATCCTTACATGCAAATAAGGAACCTAGAGTTTGCATCTGAGGTTAGCACAGTGAAGCCACAACAGAGAAAAATCTTTCTTAAAATTCCGCTTTAAGATACTAGATATATGTAATGCAACCATATGAAACAAAAATGGTTAACAATCATCTTTTATAAAAGTTCATATTGTTAAAGAGGAAGTATAGTCAGATTGTCTTTTGGTGGCATAATCATCTAATATGAAAATATTGCTGAAACCACGGCAATTAGTTGTAAATAAGTTTCGGATTTAGTAAATTGGACCGTCTGCATCTATGGCTTGGGAAAACATTGTTGCAATTTTTCTTCCATCTTGTAATTTTAAGTTCTCACCCATACGAACAGTGTTTCATTGGTTAAAATATTGATGTTTGTACTGTAAGAGCCCTGCAACGTGCCAAAGTCACAATGTGCTTTCTGCATATAAATATCTTGTTTCCGTTATACAGTTATATTCAGTTGCAAATAAATATGGGCAACATTTGTTACAGTGACATATTGCAATGTGGTGAATTAGTTAGGGATGGATATACAACACCCAGTTCTCTGAAAGTAAATGCACATATGTGGACCTTTAGTGAGTCAGTAGGTGACTTTCAGTCGGTTTTAGCAGGTGACATTCACTGCAAATTAGAGGCCCAAAATAAATGGTACCCCTATTAGAATGTGATGGGATTGACACTACGTGTTGGGAGAAGAACCATCGTGTTCCATATGTCAGATAATTATTGGAATAACAGGGCTTTGAGGGGCCACATGTCATTTGTGGTCCTTGTTGGTTTAGTAGCATGATAGCTGTCTCCCGAGTGGCACACTTTGCATTCCCTGATCTATCTATCTATCTATCTATCTATCTATCTATCCATCTCTCATAGAAACATATAAAAGGAACTCTAGGATATTTGTGGCAATGTTATTTCTTGAGTTTCTATGCCGAAGAAGGTCTTCTTAAAGATGGGTACAGATGATGCGTAATAGTATAGTTTGTATTTGCACTGGAGAGTTTTATTGTGTTTGGTCTAGGCACCTGGAGGTCAATGGCATCTATCTATCTATCTATCTATCTATCTATCTATCTATCTATCTATCTATCTATCTATCTCATTCTATTATATCATTCAGTTTACAGCATCTAACCCACACACAAAATAGACTAAGCATATTTTGTGTCACTTATGATGGATGCCTCCCTCTCTATATGAGTCCAGTCTGTGTTTTATGGTTTTTTAAGCTTAGAGACCTATTTTAAGAAAATAAAATTAATATATGAAATGTTATTGGGGTGGGAGGGAGAGTATCAAATGAAGATTTATACTGTTCAAAAACTACGATATTATTTTTTAATATGTAATGTACACTGACCTACTACAGAGGTGAACTATGCTTGTAGATTAAGGTCAAATTGTTTTTAAAGTTGCTTAAAATGAAGCATATGCATATGGAAATGTTTTCATTAAAATACATTATCAGACAATTGTGGTTTAATTTTGTGCTGCTAATTATTCAGAAGTGTTTGCTAATTGTCTTTTTTGATTGCCTTAGCATATAAAATATCTTTGGAAAAATGTATCTCATGGGTTTTTATTTTTCATCTTCCTTCCATGGAGTAAGATTTCATTTACAACTACTTTATTTCAACATTGACTTGGAAAGAAATCACTCCCTATATCATTGCCCCGCAGTCAAATTCCCTTCTCCTTAAAGGAGAACTATAGTGTTAGGAATATAATTTTTTTTCCCCTAACACTACAGTACTAGACTGGCTGTTTAGGTGATTGCCCCCCCTTCACTGTGAAGTAAAAAGTTATTTAACTCCTTGAGGACACATGACGGAAATATTCCGTCATGATTCCCTTTTATTTCTGAAGTTGTGTCCTTAAGAGGTTAAACTTATGCCGCTGCTAATGGCTGAGATTATCAATCAGCCAATCCAATGTTTTCCCAATAGGAAAGCTCTAGGAGGCTATTGCACATGCACGGCAAAAGACCATAATGCACCAGTGAGCATCTTCTGATAGAGATCCATTGAATCAATGTATCTCTATGGAAGTCATTTAGCACCTCCATTGCAGAGCTGTACACTGTGCAGCACTGACACAGGAAGTACCTCTAATGGCCATCCAAGTGACTGTTCTAGAGTTGTTACTAACCAGCAATGTAAAAATCTCTATTCTCTGAAAAGGTAACATTTTCATTGCTCAGCAAGTGCCGGCTATAGACACTAGAACCACTACATTAAGCTGAAGTGGTTCTGGTGACGTTTGTGTAGATATAATCTTTTGACCACAATTAACCAGAGGTAGATAAATCCCATGCCTCCAATTACTTAATGGTTTATATATTAGAGGGCATGTGTCTTACAGCACTATAGCAACATGTTGTTTAACCCCTTAAGGACACAACTTCTGGAATAAAAGGGAATTATGATGGAATATTTCCATCATGTGTCCTTAAGGGGTTAATACACCCTTCAAAACAATCCATTTAAAATTATTATATTTAAGATTTGGATGATGCTATCGGTCAATCTACATAATCGATTAAATTTCTATCCATATCCTTCCACATTCCTCATCAAAATTACTTATGACATTCACATTGCACACGTGTTGCTTAGTTGATAAAAAGCATCATTTTAAAAGAACCTCAATTGTAAAAAATCCACACTGTCCATAAAAAAACCAATACATTAAAGTTTATAGGGACTTTAAACTTAATCATAAAAATAAAATAAAAAATCACAAGACAAAATGCTGCTTGTTTTGTAGATGATTGACTAAACAGTAAATCGTGAGATTGTACCGGTACATTACAGGCCTTTTTATGTCAATGGGTTGTGTGCACTAATTCGGAATTATCTACGCATCAGACAGAGCTATTATACAATATTCAAATACATTGCACAGATTACTTAAACCTTATATACCATACATACAATAGCAACATATAGAAGAAAAGAAGTGGTTATTGGCTCCCCACTTGAAATAAAAATATTTTAGTAAAATGCCTTCATATTTGTGTACCAAATAAATTCAATAATGTATATTAAATCCATCACCAAACACTAGCACATACTCTATTAATTTAATGATGACAAAAGCAAAAGTTTCACTGGTGTCAGATTGACACCACAGAACTACAGGAGAACATGATTTTACACATTTAAACATACAAACATTAGCTGAATTATAAAATGTTTTGGGGTTTAGAACATGCCACAGACATGTTACTGCTCAATTCACTGCCATTTATGAGTTACATCTTCTTTGTGTCTGCCCATGCAGCCTTAGCCCCCCTATTCCCCCCAACTCTGGCTGTGCCCCCACACCGCCTGCATGAAAAAAATGGGTTCATTTTCAATCAGATGTTAACTTGCTTTAGAAGTTGAAGGCTATAAACAAAACAGGAGATAATAAATTCTAAATTAAAGATAATTTGCAATAAAGGAAGTTTAAACATTAGATATCTCTTGACAGGAAGTGTTTAGGAAAGCTGTGCAAGTCACACACAGGGAGGCGTGCCTAGGGCTGCATAAACAAAGTGATTTAACTCCTAAATTGAGCAGTGAGACTGCAGGGGCATGATCTGTACAACAAAACTGCTTCATTAGGCTGAAGTTGTTTTGGAACTATAGTGTCCCTTTAAATATACACATAGTTGATATTTAAAAAAAAAAATGCTTATTATCTTTCATAATTTCTCAATCAAGACTGGAGTGGGGGTAAATAGACGGTACCATAACTTTGCTTTGTCATGTGAAGTTTTTTTTTTTTTTCTTTAATCAGGACAACGAGAGCAGGGGTACTTGAAAAATCAAAACTGTATTTTTTATTCCATTTCCAGGCATTATAAAGCAGCATTCAAGCTGCTGATACGTAATTGGATGATCAATAATTGCTTGGGAGCTTGCAGTGAAGTGCTTTGTCAGAGGAGCAGAAGTGACTATTAGCAAAGACAAAATAGGAGTGAATCCCTTGAGCTATCTACATGATGCAAAACACAAAGCAAATGAATGTAATTCAATGACATTTCACATGCACAAAGATATTAAAAGCATCGCAACTATCTAGTGATAACTAGAGATCTTTATTAACACGTGTGATGGTTACTTACTACACTTAGTTACTGACTAGATGATGTTAATAAGTTAAAGTAAATTCAAAATGAATTTTAGTCAGTTATTTTGACAAAGACTTTTAAATTGAGTATGAATTCACTCTGAATTTCCAACAGGTTGCCCTTTAGTGAGTTACCCTGAAAGTGTCAATTGTCAGAAATCCTAAATTAATTAAAAGGGAATTCCAAATTTTTATTCAAAGTAGACGAATTGGAAAAAAAAATGTTTTCAGTCAACCTTTTTGGTGTAACATTTTAAATTGACTGTATTTTGTGAGTAACCCTGTAGTATGATGGGTGTCTATCAATGGAATGCTGACTATTTAACCCCACTTAAAGGAATGACAGCTGCAACAAATTACATTTTGAATCTATATGTTTGCTTGACTGTCCTCTTGATGCTGATTGGCTGTTTAGCATTTGAGCTAATTACATTATTATCCTATTTTGTTCCACACAGAAGCTGATGGGATGTGAGCACCATCAAATTTCTCCTTCCTAATATGCAGGAATTTTGGAGGACTCCCTCATTATTTTATACTTACTCATAGGGAGTGATACTCCCTTGTTTAGGAGATGGGGACACAGAGACACAGATAGATCCCATATAGTTAAGGTTTAGACAACTCCGTCCATATTACTTTTTAGTTTATTAATTCACCAGACTATTCATTGTACAGTTATTCAGGTCTAAACACTAGCAGACTTATTCACTAAAGTGAGAATTAAAAATGAATTTTAAATTTAATACCAAAGTAGCTGAGCTGAAAGCATTTGTAAATTAGATTTTTTTCTAGGTTGGCTATTTTGCCTTTAAATTTAAAATTCACTTTGAATTCTCACTTTGATGAATAATCCTGTAGGAACCTCCAAACTGATAGCCCTGGTTTAACCAACTGATCTACTTCTAATTTGGTACATTATTGAGGTGACACATACGACATGTCACAAAATGAACCAATTATGATGTTATTTGGCACAAAGGTTACTGCTTGTAGAAAAGCTAAAATATAACTAACAAAGTACTATGAGATGTCTGTGTACCTTATTGGTGAGTAGTGTTCTGCAAAAGAGTATTTTGCCAAAAAAAATATATATTAGAAGTTTTATTCTGCAGTATGGAGAATTGTTATGGAATAGTTAATATGTTACTTTCAATATTATTTTATATGCTTAATATGTTGTGTTACAGTGTTACAGCTGCTATACAATATATGAGATAACATGACAAAATTATGGTACTAGGATATGCTAAAGCAGGGCTCGGCAGATGGTAGATCCCCAGATGTTGTAGGACTACAACTGCCATGATACTTTGCTAGCCTGGGGATCTACTGTTTGCCCACCCCTAAGCTATCATTATGAAGATTTAGAAACTATATGAAGAGGGTTTGGACAGGCGTCAGTCTATAACTTTTTAAGGGTCGTATTTCAGAAAGACAAATGCTGAGATTAAAAGTGTAGCAAAGTACAAAGTATTATAACACATGAACAGCTGGTGAGCTTGTAAGAATGTTTTTTTCTGAGATGCTAGGTGTTGGGTCACATATTGAAGACACAGGTACATCCCAGGTTTGTTTTTCATTACAGTGCCTTGCATAATTATTCACCTCCCTTGACTTTTTACCTATTTGTTACATTACAGCCTTAAGTTCAATGTTTTATTAATCTGAATTTTATGTGATGGATCAGAACACAATAGTCTAAGTTGGTGAAGTCAAATGAGAAAACTATATACATAAAACTATTTTTTAGAAACAGAAAACAGAAAATTGGCATGTGCGTATGTATTCACCTCCTTTGTTATGAAGCCCATAAAAAGCTCTGGTGCAACAAATTACATTCAGAAGTCACATAATTAGTGAAATGATGTCCACCTGTGTGCAATCTAAGTGTCACATGATCTGTCATTACATATACACACCTTTTTTGAAAGGCCCCAGAGGCTGCAACACCTAAGCAAGAGGCACCACTAACCAAACACTGCCATGAAGACCAAGGAACTCTCCAAACAAGTAAGGGACAATGTCGTTGAGAAGTACAAGTCAGGGTTAGGTTATAAAAAAAAATATCCAATTCTTTGATGATCCCCAGGAGCACCATCAAATCTTTCATAACCAAATGGAAAGAACATGGCACAACAGCAAACCTGCCAAGAGACGGCCACCCACCAAAACTCACGGACCAGGCAAGGAGGGCATTAATCAGAGAGGCAGCACAGAGACCTAAGGTAACCCTGGAGGAGCTGCAGAGTTCCACAGCAGAGACTGGAATATCTGTATATAGGATGACAGTAAGCCGTACGCTCCATAGAGTTGGGCTTTATGGCACAGTGGCCAGAAGAAAGCCATTACTTTCAGCAAAAAACAAATGGCACGTTTTGAGTTTGCAAAAAGGCATGTGGGAGACTCCCAAAATGTATGAAGG